CCCCCCCTCCCCCCCCCACCAACTCTGCGTGTTTTCCTCGAGAGCTGCCTGGTGAACCGTAGGCAGAAAAAAGGAAAGCGTCAACAAGAAATGAAGGCGCCGAAGGGGGTCGCGGGGGGACAGCGCGGGATACAACCTCATCAGGAGGAGGAGGTTGTGCTTTTCCGTCGACGAATCCCATCAAGCAAAGTAATTGATAACGCGCCTGAATCTGGATGGGTTTTCAGCACAGATGCAGAAGAGCAGATCAGCAGATGAATAGCGATTGAATTGAAAGAAAAGAGGCGATGGGACGACGGGTGAGCAGCCAGCATGCACGAAAGAGAAAAGAAGCCCCTGCGCGAGTTTTTTTTTTTTCCCCTAATTTTTACGAAATCAAATTCGTGTTCCTTCGAGCAGAGATAGACACGTGGCAGGCAGGCAACGAGTTGGAATAGGTGAGCACTCAGAACGAGAGGACTACTTACAAAAAAAAAAAGAAAAAAAAAAGAAGGCTATTTCTTGGCAGCCCAACCAATTCAATTACCTGTCGAATCTGGACAGGACAGCCTTTCAGGCCTGGTTTTTTATTGTCATTATTAATTTATTATAGTATTACGGGGGACCACGTAGCAGCCACATGGCATTGCATGCTCAAGCCTCCAACGAGGGAACATGCGGAAGCTGCTGAACCCACCAGCAGGTGGGGGCGATACCTGCTACAGCAGGTGGGGGCGATACCGGCGAGGGGTCAGCCGGTGGCATCAGGACCGAAAGAGCTTCTTCGATGGGCCAGTCGCTGTGCCTCCGCTCCGGTGGTGGTCCCCCCCCCCCAATGAACATCAGCAGTCTCTGCTCAATAGAGTCCGTCCTGCATTAGACATGACATGTGTCCGTCCTACATTAGCGGAGGGGAGCGGCGGGGCGCTTGGGAGCAAGCCGTTGGCGGAGGAGTGAGAGCGTATGGAATAGAGCGCGTATACGTTGTATTCGGACTTGGAATAGAGCGCGTATGCGTTGTATTCGGATAGAGCGCCTACGCGTTGTATTCGGATAGACCTGCATCAGTCGGATTTCCCCTGCACACCCCGAGTGTGGCCTTTTTTTTTTTTTTTTTTTTTTTTTTCTGATCACATTGTCAACCAGTGTGAGGCCCGTTGTTTTTGTTTTGGTGAATGGGAAAATTAGTGAGGGAAATAAAAAAAAGTGAGAAAAAAAGGAAGTGGGAAGACGAGAACGCATTGGAAGTCCGAAGAGAAAATACGCGAAATGAGTTGAAAAAAAAAAAAAAACAAAAAAAAAAA